GTTGAATGTAGAGATTTGGTTATGCACATGTAAATTCTGTTGAAACATTTGAGAGCAAGCAACTTGTCATCCCAACATTTGGGGGGTGCAAGTTGTCATAAAAGTAAATTACATGCATTTTTATAGTTTAGCATGATTTTTCTCCTATAAATTTTATTGCAAAACAAACACTAGAAAGTGGATTTTCTCACAAAAATTTTTTCAGCAAACAAACACATTATAACTAATTGAGAAAATAAATTTTCCTCTTCTCATCCCAACATTTCTCATCCCATCCTTTCTCAGTCCAATTTTCTCAGCAATCAAACAGACCCTTAGTGATTATGTAATTGGCACCTTGCAAATAGGGGTTGTTCATAGTTCCATTGGGCTTAATTTTGGAATTGAGCTAGTATCACCGGTTTCTGGAAAATCGGTAACAAAAACCAAACCGAAGCCGATTGGTTAACCGGTTTGGTTTGTTAGTTTTTTTGTTTTTTTTTTTTTATATTTATAATGTATATTATAAAAATATATAAAGATATAATAAAAAATCAGAAATATATAATATTATATTTTAAACAATAAATAATATATTATAAAAATATATTTATATATAATACATATTTATTAATTTAGAAATATAAAATATATATAATATATATAAATATACCTAAAATATATAGAATTATATGTATACCGATGGGTTCAGTTAACCACCAGTTTTCTATACTGGTTAACCGAAACCAAACAAATACCTTCGATGTTTTAAAATACTGAACCAAAACCGAATCAATCGATTCGGTTAACCAGATTTTTGGTTAGCTTCAGTCGGTTTTCCGGTTCGGTTCGATTTTTCAGTTATTTCTTGCTCACCACTACTTGCGAATCGAGAATTTGTGAATCATGATGCGAGGCACAAGCACCAGATGTGCGGAGGAGATTCAGCAAGCTCTTGAGCGTTCGGTATATTTTTGATGCATGGATATAAATCTCCTGCCACTTTTTTAAATCCTTTCTTCCAAATTGGTTTACCTCCTTCGGTTCAAAGAGAGAGAGAGACGAAGAACCCGGAGAAAGCAAAGCGGAAACATCAAAACTCAAAAGAGGATTAGAGGGGGAGGGTACACCTGTACATAAATACTGAACAGGGTTTGCGAACAGCAAACCATTGCTAGCATGTGAAGGACCTCTCAGTCCAGGTTTTCTCGAGTTTTATCTGCAAATTCATCGAATGGCTTTTCTCGGTTCTAGCATTCCAAGCGAGGTAGAAAATTCTGAGGATCAGTCTTCTTTCTGTTTTTTTTTTTTTTTCTATTTTTTAATTTTCCTTTCATCCTTGTTTCTCTTTTTTTTTCCTTGAGGGTTTGAATTCTGATCTTTACTTCTTCCTTTTTTTAATCTTTCCTACCCATTACCATCTAATACAATTAATCTGTATGCTTTTTTTCCTTTCCCTGCCACATTGATTGTTGAATTGCTCAGTTTAAATACTGTTTGTTGATTATTTCAATTATGTCTAGTCTTGTTTGGTGGATTTATTTGGTTATGAACTTATGGTGATTATTGTTAATGATTACTTGATTGAATTTGATATTCATTTCTGGTTTAGTTATTGAACTCGTATCGTTTTCTTTCAAGCTTTTTCGGTAAAATATCTTCGATACTTAAATTATTCTCATTTAATACGTGTTTGGGCGTGCTGTCACGAGCAAGGTTGTATCTCTGTATGCGTTTTTGGTTTTTAATTGTATTGGTCTCAAAGATTATCTGGGTGGAATGTCGGTCTAGCTTGGAACCGAAACTGAATATTGTTTAGTAACAAAGAGTTTCTAACTATATTACCGATGTAACTTAATATTGTCACATCAATAATGCAAACACTAATCGTGTTTTAATTTGGGTTTCTCATATCCTTGAGGTAGTTTTCTCAAGAGAATGGGTCCCATGTAATTAATGCCTTTTCAATATTATAGTATTATCACAGTATGAAAACAGTGGAAACCCATAATTCTTTGCTCTAAGTTTTCATTTTCAGTTGTAGTCTGATATAGTACACCAGCAATAGGTAAGCAAAGTAGCAAATAATAAGCAAAACAGGAAATAGACTTTGACATTTTGTTTCTAGGTATTGGAAACATTGCTCTCATGGCGGCTGACGATCTCCAGAATTTGAAATGAAAGATTCAATGGCAAATAGACTTTGGCATTTTGTGGTGGAAATTCATCCTCAGTGATGACTGCCACAGAGAAAACAGGAAATAACAACAATGGCTAATACATCCCTTAGGTTATCAATTATTTATTTCTGTAGAAACAAAATTAGGATCCTTTTTCTCCTGCTAATTTGCTACATACCTGAAATTAAGTTCAATGGTAATGATGCTTTCTTGCCAATGCAGGTTGGGTTGCGGTTGCTCCTTTGCCCACTGAGTTCTAATGTTGTCATCAGAACGGCTTGGTAAGTTTCTAGATTCACACTTATTATAAAGGTTGAACTCCGTATCTTTATTTATGTGTTTTCTGATTCATTTTGCACCTTTTAAGCACTGAAGCACATAGAAACGACATTCAATAAGGTCTAAGCCTATGGATCAATGGAATGGATGAATGCTAGTTTTGGTACATTGGATTTGTATCCAGATAAAACATGTTTTTGGCATGATAGATCAAAATACTTTCTGGATATTCTATTCGTCTTTCAGAAATAATACATACATAGGTTGGCATTTTTATCTTATGTCCAAAATCCATTTTATGAAGTATTGTAATAAATTGTTGGCTTGTGCAGCTGTTCTGTGGGTGTTGTTTTACCTGTATACTCTACATTCAAGGCTATTGAGAAGAAAGATCAGAATGAGCAACAGAGGTGGCTATTATACTGGGCAGGTTAGTATACGGTTGGTACTTAAGTTTAGAATTTATGATCACCTTTTGGTATGTACTCTTACCACTTGCTTCTTTTTTTTGATAGGAAACCGTGACTTTTATTGAATTAATTTAACAAAAATATTACAACTGTCAATCACCCAAACACAAGGGTGCTGGCCTCAAAAAAAAGTCTTAAGTTACAGTACTGCCGAAAATGGAAAACAAGTTCTCCCTGAAAGCCCCTTGCTTTGCCAACATATCAGCTAGTCCATTAGCTAACCTTTGGACCCAATTGAAAGAGACCCCTATCTCCCTTGCTAACCAATTTATTTTCCTCATGAGCTGTCTATAGACCCAAAGCCCTAACCCTTGTGACTACATCCAACGAATTAGTAGCTTAGAATCCCCTTCTACCTCAATTTGATGAAGAGTCATCTGCTTAGTCAACCTTAAAATGTTGAAGTAAAATCATCACCTCCGTTCTCAGTGTATCACCCACTCCTATTGGCCCTGAAAACATAGCAATTAGTTTGCCCTCTTCATGTCTCAGAACTCCACCTATTCCAGAAGGGCCCAGGTTGCCTAAAGAGCCCCCGCCAAAATTCAACTTCACCCTTTGGATTGTAGGAGTCCATATATCCTGGGCTCCAACCTTCAAGGAAATAGAAGTTGCCACTGCATTCCAACTTCTTAGTATGTCATCAACTGAGAAGTCCCTAAAAGGCTCTAATGTTTTCATCCAATGAATAACTTTAATGGTTATTCCATCGATGACTTATTCCTTAGATTTTTTTTTTTGAAGAAGGATAAGTAAATTTTATCAGAACAGAACCAGATTACAGAATACAAGAGGCCCCAAAACCATAAATCTGGGGACTAAGAAGCCAGAAAATGTTACAGTTAGAAACTGCCAGCAATCAGCTGGGCTCCCAAAACCCTTGGTTGAACCCCTAAAGCTACAGCATTCCAAGAGATTAGTTTTCCAACACCAACAGTACAGGACAACAGTTGATCCACAGTGTTGTGCTTATCCTGGAAATTTCTTTTGTTTCTTTCAGCCCAAATGGTGCTAATTACAGCCACAGGAATTGAGAGCCAGACACTTTTTCCTAACTTAGATAAGCCTTTCTGGCCCCAGCACCACAGGAGATCCAGAACAGTTGCAGGCATGGCCCAAGATAGCTGCCTAGAGAAGAAGTGGTTCCAGATTTTACTGGAGATAGGACAGTGCAGAAATAGGTGGCTGCTGTCCTCCTCCCCTTGGTTACATAATACACAAGAATAATCCTGCAGCTGCATACCTCTCCTCTCCAGATTCTTCTTGGTAAGGCACTTATCCAGAGCCACAGCCCAGATAAAAGCATTAAGCTTTGAAGGGACAGTCTGGTTCCAGACTTTATCAGCAGGGAAGTCAGCACCTTGATCAGTTGAAAGGATCTTGGCAAACAAAGTAACAGAAAACAGACCATCTTTGCTCCAAGACCAAATTCAAGAATCTTCTTCTGATAAGTCCAGAGACTGAGTAGATAACATCTCCAACAGCCCTGAGACTTGATCTAGTTCCCAGTTCTGGAAATGCCTTCTGAAAGAGGGGCCCCAAAGACAAGTGTTGTCTCTAATCTCATAGCAGTCAGCAACCAAGGCTTCTTGGTTTTCTTCCATTTGGAACAGCCGAGGGAACACCTCGACAAGGGGTCTATTAGTGCACCACACATCCTTCCAGAACCTAATCCTCCAGCCATTCCCCAACTTTACCGAAAAACCATTACTCAATAAAGGGAAGACTTCCATGATTTTCTTCCCAATTTGACTAAAGGGCAACTGCTCTTGTAGCTCTCCACATTGCTTTACCCCTCTTCTTCGTTTGCCTAAAGAAACTTAGATCAAAGAGGCCTTTCAAGGCACCAAGGTGAACCTAGGCAACAAGAGAGCGCTTAGTCACCTAGTTGCCTAGGCGCCACTTAATGTTCAAAAAAGGACAGAACAATAAGGGGCTGGGCCCCTGTTTTTGTCATAGAAATATTAGTAAAAGAAGGGTCATACTCCTGTTTTTGTCATAGAAAAAAGAAAGCATGAATAAAATCCTTAGAAATGATGAAGAAGATGTCAGCTCGAGAAAGAGAGAGAGAGCAGAGAGAAAGACAAAAGTCCAGATCTGTTAGGGTTGATCAGTCTGATCGAACCAACCCAGAAAAGATGTATTTATATTAAACTTATGTGAATAGGCAAGACTGTCCTTACAAAGAGAATAAAAAGGGTCTGTACACTAAAGTACACACCTATTATAGTACAAGAAAGAAAAAATAAAGTACAGAACAGTAGAATTACAAAACTACCCTTCAGTAGTTCTTCCACAGAAGAAAGGGTGGAGCCCCTATTTTTGTTGTAGAAGAAGAAAAAGAAGGGGCTCCGTCCTATTTTTGTTCCAAAAAATAAAAAGGAGTGGAGACCTTGTTTTTTGTTCCAGGTGTGGAACCAAGCCTCTACTTTTATTCCAGATGAAAAGGGCCAGAGCCCTTGTTTTTTGTTCCAAAAAAAAAAAAGAAAAAAAAAGGGTGGACCCCCTATTTTTGTTCCAAAATAAGAAAAAGAAAAAGAAGGGGCATATCCAGGAAATGAAAAAGAAGAAGGGGGAGCCCCTGTTTTTGTCCCCCCCTAGAAAAAAAAAACAGAAAAAGAAAAAGAAGGGGCAGAGCCCTTGTTTTTTCTCCAGGGTGGATCATACCTTGTATGATTATTGATTTTCCTTGTTTCTTCAAAGACTTCAAACAGTTATCCTCGTTTCTTTAATCTTCGAATGGCTATCATCGAAAACTAATAAAAATATATTATTTTATGAAAGAAATAAAAAAATTATTCAGTGTATCTTATCTTAATATTATAAGCTCAAAATATAAAAATATAAAAAACTTGAAGAATTTATATAAATGTCATGGCATTTTGGTGAGGTGAGCCCCAAAAAGCACCTAAACGCCTAGGTGTTGCCTTGACAACTATGAAATAGGCTCACCACATCTAGGGAAGGGTCCCACTTGCAGCCAAAGAGAGGAGAACCAATTCCAAATAAAAGGCACAAAGGGACAAGAGATTTTTTTTGATTAGTGAAAGAAAAATTCATTAACATGAGGAAAATTATGATTACAGATTCTGAGTAGACTTGGCTACCCCACTAAACTTGACATGTCAACTTTTAAATTTGGTTTTTCACCTTTACAACTAAGTCCAGAAACAATGATCCCTATTAACCTCTTGTCCCCTTGTTTTACAAAGGGACAAGAGATTAATAAGTGTATCTACCTGTCTCACCACATCCCAAGCAAAGACTACAAACATGGGGTGAAAGGCACTAGTTTGGCCTTCTTCTTTGAAGCACATCCAAGGTGTTGATTTTTTGGAGCACCACTCCTAGCAAAAGGCCCCCACTTTTGGAGGTATAGAGCTACACTAAGCTTCCTTTGTTGGGAAATTTTGTCCTTCCAAGTTAGAAGACTAAAGAAGAGTATTGTAAAAGGAAGATGTTATGGGCCCGCGCATAGGATCTCGTTACGGGTCGGTCCACGGTGAGAAAGCCCTGCTTTCCCTTGCGCCTTCCCTTGCGTGCAGACCCTATTGCGGAAACTGAATGGGTGATTTGTCTAAGAGACCACCCTAACTCTCCGAATGGGTGATTTGTCCAAGAGACCACCCGAACTCTCCTCACTCTTTTCTTGACCGGAAAACTGAATGCCTTTATTTCAATTCGTGGCTCCTTAAATAGGAGATTACAGAAGGAAATTCCTAATTA